CGAACACTTCTCAAGAAGTCGTTCTTGATGAGTCATGAAGTCTAAAATTTCTGTGTTGTTCCTCCAACAAATAGGTGAATACAACCCGTGTCATGCAGAACATATTGTTAAATCTCGTTGGTGGCCTGCAAACAACTCCCTAACTCATATGAGAATGTCATGCAAAGAAAGCGCTTTATATACGAGTTATATTATTCATACATCAAGTATACGACGACTGCAACTCTCTTTTTGCGTCATTCTCTTGTTGCATCCATATATTTTGATATTGAAGTGACTAACATATAAGCATTAATGAATTAACTACAATCATATAATATTATGAATATAACCAACACAAACAAATAACATTACAGAAGTAAATTGAAAACATAACGAGGAATGAAAAACTCTTAAGTAAAGTGACATGTTCAAAGCAAAATAAATATTCAAAGCCCCTTGAAAAACCATAAAAAATAGAAATTTCACACAAGAATCTAATTAAAAAAATGTCTCTTTGTCATCGGGGGCACATGTCATGTTGCCCGTTGCCATGACACATCTAAACATACGATCCATCTTCTCCTCCAATTAAGGATTGATTCCACTATATAAATTTTTATGCAGTAGACACCACCTACAAATTCATATAATATGTAGTTCAATTTAAAAATAAATTAAGGCAAAAATAAGGGACATTTCAAAAATGCTCACCGCTAGTCTCTCAGCCTACCACTCCTCGGAAGTATCAATCGTTCGTTTTACAGGATTCCACCCTAAACCCGTTGATTCTCACTTCAATTTCTTCTACAATTTTCAATTCTTTTTTGACTGATCTCACTTGTTTTTAAACTGTATCATATCATACTCTCTGCCCGTAATTTTCTTGAATTTTCTAATTAATATTTTATCAGCCTTCCTTGTTGAAATAAGTTGTCGACTTATTTCTCATATCAACCTCTTAAAGGCAAATGTCGCAAAATATTATATTGGTCTCTTTATCCCACATTGCAGATGAACTGACCTTTTTTGTCTTAACCATTATATTACTAACATGAAAAAACTACTTAGACATTACCACGCAGACACCACCACCTCCATGAACTAACATGTATTACTAACATGAACTTTTTTGTCTTAACCATTGTATTGGTCTCCACGCAGACACCACCACCTCCACGCAGACACCACCATCTCCACGCAGACACCACTACGTCCACACCAACACTTCTACAGACCACCACATGAAGACATTACCACCACTAGCACCTCCACACAAACCCAACCACACACCCCACAACCAGGCTCCGCCACCTCCACACAGACACCACTCAGACACCAACACCTCCATACCAACACCTCCACACACCAGAACATCAAGACACCAACACATCAACCATACCACCACCTTCACACACCAACACTTCACAAAAACACAACCATATACTAACCTCTACCTCTACAACCATACTCTAACACCTCCACACAGACACCACCACTTCCACACACCACCATACAGACACTACATAAACACCAACACTTTCATCAACACCTCCAGACACCAACACCTCAACTCAGACAACTCCTTCTCACACCAACCACACTCCTCCACAGACCAACCACGATCGCACTACCTCATAACCAACACCACACCACACCACCTTCTCCAAACCACACACCAACCATCCAACGCTACCAATCACCAACATCAATCGCACACCACACCACTCCACCAACTCCACATCACCTTTTCCCACAACACAACACCACCTCCTCACAACCTACAACCAAAATCAACACCCTGTTTCATCCATTTTTCAAATTCTCACACAAACATCAAAGATAATGGTAGAACTTCGTCCCATATTTTTTCATTTGAGGCAATTACATATAGGCACTCGAAAGATTGCTATTTACAAATCAAACACCCTCTTTCATTGAGGCAATTACTTAAAGGGAACCCATATTTTTCAAATTCTCACTGGTTAAGTATAGGGCACCCGAAACAATGCTATCTACATAAAGGGCACCCGGAAAAAGCTATTTCCAATCCATATTTTTCAAATGAGGCAGTGACATAAAGGGTGCCGAGACAGTGCTATCTACAAATCAAGCTACTTTTTTCATCCATTTTTCAATGCAATGAAATACATGGCACCTGAAACAATGCTATCTATATGTAGGGCACCAAAAATACTATTTTACAGAACCCTTCAAATTGCAGAGCTCATAATATCCACAAAATTCTCACAATAACTAGAGATGAAAATGAGAAATCCACAAAATGAGAAAGCTCGGGATCGATTCCACAAAATTCTCACAAAACTCTACTTACCCAAATGAGAAAGTCATTCCATTGAAAATGAGCACAGAAATTTCATCCAATGCACAATAACTAGAGATCGAGGGAAAAGAGAGGAGAAAAAGGCATGTTGCCACTGAAGAGAGACGCTTGAGAGGTGCAAGGGAGGCGCGAGAGATATGCTTAGGCAGCAGGGTAAGAACTTTGCGAGAGCGATCGTTATAGTTAGGGCAGAAGAAACGTGAGAGACGGAGCCACGGGGTTGAGAGAGACAGAAGAAATGCGAGAGATGCTAGAGTAATATGTAAGGGAAGAAATTCGTGTCGCAGGGCCAAATCCGCCGCTATGTTTTAACATAGATTATTTAGGAAAGTCACAACACTGCGCCACAACACCGCTATTTCCAAATGGATGAAACCTCTTTTTCAAGATGCACTGTGCCAAAAAAGCTGACCCAAATCAGGACCTAAGAGAGCAATTTGTGCCGCTAAAAATTCTGTTTTTATAATCGTTATAATATATTAGATATTAAAACGGGTGAATAATATATGTATAAACTAGTCAAACAAAGACAAAAAGTAAACATTTAACTCAAGTAAAATGTATTAAAGATAAAAAAAAAAAAATGTTTCTTAGAAAAGATATTCAACATAGGTGAATGAACTATTTTGATAAACTTTTCAATGAAGCTTCTGAAAATATGATAGACCTTAATGATCTTAATATCATTAATAATAATAAAATAATTTATTTTTATCGTCGCATTATCAAAATAGATGTTGTGGAGGCTTTAAAGAAAACCAAGGGTGGACAATCAGTGGGACTTGATGATATCTTAATTGAAGTGTGGAAATCTTTGGGAGATTTGGGAGTTTATTAGCTTACTACCTCTTTAATATTATTTTAAAAACTAAGAAGATGCTTGACGAGTGGAGGAAGAGTATTTTGCTCCCAATTTTAAGAATAAAAGGGTGCACTAGAGTGTGCAAATTATAGAGGAACTAAGTTGATATGTCATACGTTAAAATTATGTGAAGGGGCAATTGAACATAAGTTACCACAGCATTACAGTGATTTCTCATAATCTGTTTGGATTTATACCTAGTAGGTCTACTATGGATGCTATACATTTATTAAGACATTTGTTCGAGAAGTGCAGAGAGAATAAGGAAGATCTACGTATAATTTTTATTGATTTAGAAAAAAGCTTACTATAAGATTCCAAGTGAAATCATTTGGAGAGTTCTAGAGAAAAAAATGTGTTGATATGACTTATGTTCAAGTCATTAAAGAAATGTATGCTAGAGTTGTTGTGTTCAAATAGGAGGATTGACCTAATATTTTCTTATATCTGTTGGATGACATCAGGGATCGGCTTTAAGCCCATATCTTGTTGCTTTAGTTATGGATGCTCTTATGGGACATTTACAGGAGGATGTACTTTGGTATATGCTTTTTGCGGATAATATTCTTCTTGTGGATAAAATTAGAGACGAAATTTAGGAAAAACTTGAATTATGGAGGTCTACATTTGAGGCCAAACACCTTCGTTTGAGTATTACTAAAACTGAATATATAGAATGTAATTTTAGTAGTAGTAGCTTTAGTGGCAAAGCTGTAACTATGGATGATCAAATTATTAAAAGGTGTGAACGCTTTTGATATCTCGGGTCTATTATTCAATGTGATGGTGATATAGATGGGGATATTATTGGTAGAATCCGAGTTGGTTGATTGATGTGTAGGTATGCATCTCGTCTATTGTGTGATAGAAAAGTACCGCTTGGACAGAAAAAGACATTTTATAAGATGGTGGTGCTACCTGCAATGCTTTATAGCGCAGAATGTTGGCCTTTAAAATAGAAGCACAAAACAAAGTTAAGTCTTGCTGAGATGAGAATGATTAGGTGGATGAGGGCTTTACACTCAGAGACAAAATGTGGAATGAATATATCTGTTATAGAGTTGGTTTAGCTCCAATGGTGGATAAAATTAGAGAGAATCGTCTTAGATGGTTTGGTCACATTAAACGTTGACCATCTGTTGATCCGGTTAGGAGAGTAGATGTTTTAGATTTGACTTATGTTAATAAAGGTAGAGGTAAACCTTGCAAGACTTGGGGTATTGCATAAAAATTATCTTAATTTATTAGAATTAAATGAAAATATGAAACTCAATAGGACGCAAAGGAGAAGAAGGATTCATGTAGGCTTGTTGTTGTTGTTGTTGTTTTGTAGTGACTCTTTCGATTATTTTTTTTTATGATGAATTATATTAGGGAGAATATAAAAATTAAAAACTTTTAATTTCACAGTCCATTACCTTTGGAAATTCTAAGCCCAAAGGCCGGGTTTTGATGCTTAGTTTAAATTCTTAATCTTATTGTTTCTTCTGTTCTATGGCCAAATACTTTTATAATTTTTTTCTGTTTGGTCCCATATTGTCATTTTCTTTCTGCTTTATTTGCTTTATTCGACATGATTATTCCTTATAACTCTTTTCGCTTTTTGGACCAATGGATCTTTGCTCAACACTGTTCTTTTATGGTTATTTATATTTTGTTTATCCCCTAAATCTGGTTAAATGAGTTCGTTATATTGTTTTAACTTTCTGCTAATAAAATTTTATGTTATGTTTTTTCTCAAACTTTAACTTTAGACGGAATTTTGCTGTTTTACTCACCTATCATTTATTCTCTCACAAGATATTTATGACTTAGGTATACAGATCTGAAGATGCTGAAAATATTGGATATGTGATTCCCACCACCGTTGTTTCACATTTCTTAAACGACTACGAAAGAAATGGAAAGTATACTGGTGAGTTATTTACCCAGTTTAGCATATTTGACTTCAATTTTTGTTCTGAGATTAAATGCTAGAAGTTTTGCATATTCAACCTGAACTTCAGGGTATATTACGCTTCTCTGAGGCTTAGATAATGAATAAACAAATTGCATGTTGCTTGAATCCACTTCTGCAAAACTCTCTTTTCTATGAAACCCAAATTCACTTTTGGAAAAATAGCAGTGATTTAAAAATTCTGAAATACCCAAAAATAGGTAAATGATTCACATGCTTGTAACCTTTTGTTTGATGTTTCCGTGAGAATGAAATTTCTACTTCTTCTCATGGCCATTTATGATATCCAGGACACTACTCTTTTTATTCTTGAGATTGATTACCAGAAGACGTTGAGTACTTTACAACGTCGAGAGTTTTGTCAGAGAAGGTCAGTAACTTGACATAAATATGGGAATTGACCAATCTTTAATTCACACTTATCACCTAAGAAACTGTGGATGAGTACTCTTCCAAGAATAACCAAGAAAAAAAAAGTTTTAACTGTTATGGAAAATAATATATCTAATAATTGTATATTGGAGAGCTTGATTATAATAGGTAGCTTGATTATAGGAATTCTAATAAATGTATTTTCCTAATTAGGTAACCTAATTAGAGGAGATCTAATTGCGGGATATTCCCTCTATTAGAGATATTCATAAACTACAGAGATTGGATTGTAGATAAATATGTAACATATTTTTTTTAATTGAATAATAAGATAAAATTGTTTCCATATAAATGGTATCTGAGCCACGCACGTCTCGTCTCCTATAGTCTGCTCCTTAGTCCGCATGTAAGTGCGGCTTCGTCCGTGTCATTCGAATCATTTGTGTGTGCATCAAAGACAAACAATTCGACGAATAATGAGTATTCATTGTGTTTGCATTGTTCCTCAGTGGACTCCGTTGTTCATCATATTCCAAGAGATGGTTCGACTTCATCCTATGACATCTATCACAACTCGAGCGTGGTCTTCATCGTGAGTGGTCATCTCCTTTAGCTTTGTTTGTCGCTTTTGTTTGTCTTCGGCGATCGTTGATTGTTCGTCGAGTCGTTTGTCTCCTACAACTCGAAATCTTTTTTTGCTTGCATTTGACTTGTCCTTCAACTCATTCGTGTCGTCGCGTTGAGGAGTCCTCCTTGAAGCGGTTCAACTTATTGGCTTTTGCCATTTACAGATGATGGAATTAATAGTATGCAAGTTTAGTTTCTTCTATCTTTCATTTCATCAAACATCATTTGGGATTAGTTGGTTCAATCTCTTTTAATATTGGTGATAATCATGGCTGGTAAATAAAAACATGTTGTGACAAGTTTGGTTTCATCAATAGCTAGAATTACTGATAAAAAATTAAATGACTTCAATTATTTTTATTGGAATAAAACTATGACTCTATTTGAGAAGTATTTCTCAAGTAAGCCTCCTCATTGATATTCTGTCTACTGAGACTTATCTAAATTGTTCTGTGGATGAAAATTGATGCCCACCTCTTGATACAAGTAGATAATTCTATTGAACGTGATCAATTTAGTTATGTTTTTTATTGGACTGTATTAAAGATGTGATTGAGTAGTTGTCATTTGTATTTTCTGAAAGAGAAAATATTTCTTGAATTTTTGATTTATGAATGGAGTTCTATTGAGCTGAACAATTAGACCAGTCACTTAACACTTATCATATGCACTTTAAACTTGTTTATGAAGAGTTGAATGCACTATTACCCTTTAGTATTGATGTCTATATTCAACAGGTTCAAAGAGCATTAGCCTGTGTAAAAGATCAAAGTAAATCCATGAAAATTTTTTTACCTTTCTAAGGTTGTTTGTCGAAGTGTTCATTGACGATTCTAATATTCATGAATGAGATCCAATTGAATCCTCTTGGGATTATACCCTGATTGAGAAAGGACTATTGTCGCGTGGATCCCAAATCAAAGGTAAGTTGATATGTATTTAGACCTTTACTACCTTTTGAGGTCATGACTACTTCTCGTCCAAGGGGTAAAAGTCAGCTAGGGATTTTTTGTTGAGCTTAAAATATTTTGATAGAATTTGCTGTAATTGTGAGGAAACTTGAGAGAGATGATTGCTAATAATTTTATCTTGTATGCAGAGGATTGGTTTAAATGCAATCATGTCTAAGATGTTGACATGAGTGACCTTTTATGGTATTAGTAGGTTGCCCACCACTCTTAAATTTGTTCTCATTAATTTAATATCCAAGAGGAAGACAAAGGAATCATCTAACCACAATCATATATTGGATGTTGACATGCATTATGCTCAGGATTTTGTTGTGTATTCTTTCTCTAGTTGAGGCTCACGTCGCTGGTTTGGACATCGATGGGGAAGTTTGCAGCTCTCATGCTCGAACTTCTTTAGTTGCAAGGCTTGGCCAACATTACTGGGTTTATTCTTATGCTTACTCATGAATCACTCGATTTGCTCCCTGTGCGTATTGATAGGCTTGTCTGCAATTTGGTCAGCATAAAAACAAACTATCTCCCACATTAGGGATGAGAAGGTACCGATTGAAGACCTCCAGTAAAAATCTCCTTCAGTAATTCATGATTTATCTTTGGAATTTGACGAGTGTTAATGGAAAATTTTCGAAATTATTTCTTAAGTGATTCTCATTCATGCCGACGAATTACTAAAAGATGAGATTAGTCTTTAACAATCATTCGGTTTGTTATAAATTGGTCCACAAATAGTCTAACAAGTTCATTGAAGGTGTGGAGAGTCCCTCCCGGAAGGTAGTATAACCACTTGTGAATTTGGCCCTTGAAAGTGGCTAGAAAAATTTGACAAATAAGCGCATTAGAAGCTCATTGGATGTGTATGATGGCTTGGCAATGGTCGACGCATTCATAAGGGTCAGTTACTCCATCATAGGAGTGGATATTCGAAACTTGAGGTTGTATTGGAGAACAATCTCGACCAAGGGTGAAGTCTCTTAAAAATTGTGACGAGTGGGGAAATTGTCCATATTTTTTAGAGGGAACTCTTCTCGAACAAAACATCGCAACTATTCATGAATTACATCATCAGGAGTGTCAATAAGTCGTGGTTGAGCTAAGTTTCCTATGAGTGTCGGAGGATTGCCGATTGGCCTTGTTGCATGGGATCAATGAGCAGGAATTGCAGTATGGAGAAGATCGGCATCTTGGCCTGCTGGAGGTGGAATTCCATCATAACGAGGAGGGGGCCCAATACAAGTATTCTCGAGCGAGGGATTCTTTACAGGTTGTTGACCTTGTGGCAAGTACACCCTATCTGGCTGTACGTGCATCAGCTATCGACCCTCACATAGGAGTAGAGAATCTCATGTTAAGGCTCGTCTATTCTACTCCCTTTGTCTTTCAATGATGAGCCTGTGGCACCTTCTTCAAAAGGGTAACGCCTGTTGTGGAGGGAAAAGGTAGATGCTTGATGTCTTCTGCTTCGTGATTGTCCTCTTGAGTGGTGGGTGTTAGAACGAGATGCTCTGTTACCGATATTGCGCTGTTGGCCATTCCAATATTTTCTAAGTTTTTCGATGGTGGGCTATCTTTCTCATAGACAACACCAAACTATTCTTGCATATAAATTTGCGGCACTAGAGTGATATATTAACATCGTGGTGTTTTACGAAGATTTAACACAAGTAAAAAAAATAACAGAGAAGACAACATGATTTTTTTGTGAAAAATCCAAAGAGGCGAAAACCAAGTGGTTGGTCCAGTTGAAATGATTTTATTATGCCTTTGTTGGTCCTTGGATAGCAGAAAGTAATGTTATATAAGTGGGATGTGACTTTCGGTAGGGAAGTGGCATAAAATTCGGAGAAAGTGATGGTCCAAATGCTATGAAGAAAAACCAATGGTAGGAGTCATCTGCCAGAAAATCTGTTGTTAGTGTCTTTGATAGTGGCTGAAAAGCGGCAATGGTGGTTCGGCTATGACAGCGGCTCCACGACTGTTGTCAGGTAGTGGTGGTCAAGCGACGGTGGTCTGACGATGGGGTGGCCAAATGGCGATGACGGCGACTCGACGGTGGCGGTCTAGCGATGGCTTGAAGTAGCGATGGTGGTCCAATAATGGTGGTGGTCGGGAGGCAATGGCTGTTGTTCGACGATGTCATTAGCTCGATGGCGGTGTCCGAGTAGCAATGGTCCAATGGCATCAAATGGTTCACAATGATCAGAAACCTATGACAGTGGTCCTGTTGTGACGACAGTTCGATAGCGGTTGCTTTATTTTGGTGGTCCGGTGGTGGCAGAGCTCTTAAGAGCTTGCAGCTCTTTCAACTTTCTCCTCCTTGCCCAGGTCCCAAGTCCCCATTTATGAAGGTATTGTAGGTCTATTTATAGAATTTGTGAGTTGCATCCTCTGTAATTGCATGAATATTGACTACTACATCGGACGGCCCAAAATGATCCTATTGTTTGGATGATGTTTTATAAGTATTTGAGTTCCTTAATGATGTCATAATTAAGTGATATTGGGCTCGTTGGATTTAGCTCGATGAGAAGCTTGGTCCGACGATAAAATTTTCTGATTTGGAATTCATTTGACCATTGATTTTCCATCCAAACCCTTAAATTACGCTTAAATAACTTGATCGGATTGATCGGATGAAGCTTGAAGCATTTGACAGGTGTGTGCCCAAACCATTTACAATGTTTAGAGTAGTAGAGTCTTCGTTCTGCCACAATTGGCTGCCAATACTCATTGTGGGCAGTACCAATACATATTTCTTTCACATCAGGAAGAGTGATATCCCTTTCAACAAGAATCTTTGCAACCGAATGCCTAGATAGATTTAAGGTGGGTTTGTCCAATTTCCTAGGTCTCTCTAGTGCAACTCCAATAGAATAGAGGACTTGGTGATTAAAGTAGTGCAACTTTAGGCCAGATAGTTTAAACCAGATTGGAACTATAAGGGGTTGTTTGTATCATAGTCATCTACTTTAGCAATTTCATATTTTTCCT